ACCTGTTCTTCATGGTGCAGATCTCCCAGTGCCGATCGCGCCCTTAGACTGGCAAGGTATTGTTTTGGAAGATAAGGAAGATATTGAATCAAACAGCTCTGGAGACCAGTGTACTGATCCTACCTTTACCCCAGAGGGCGGTTCCGACAAGCCACATTTGATTGTTCAAAGCGAGTTGAATGACTTAGTGCGTGACTTGGGGTTATCAAAGCAGCAGTCAGAACTTCTTGGATCCCGGCTTAAGGAATGGAATCTGTTAGCCAATGAAACAAAAATCACCACTTTTAGAAAAAGAAATGCTCCGTTCTCTGCATTCTACAGTATGGAGGATTCGTTGTGTGCATGTACTGATATCGATGGCTTAATGCAGGAACTTTCTATAGAACATTCTCCCTGTGAGTGGCGCTTATTCATAGATTCGTCGAAATATAGCCTAAAAGCTGTGTTATTGCATAACGGAAATTTAAAACCCTCTATACCAGTTGCCCATTCAGTGACAATGAAGGAAACTTATGAAAATATGCGCATGCTTTTAGATAGAATCAACTACAACAGGTATAAATGGCAGATATGTGGGGACTTGAAAGTTATAGGAATTTTAGTGGGACTTCAGGGAGGATTTACAAAATATTGCTGTTTTCTTTGTTTGTGGGACAGTCGTGCAGTAAATCATCATTATGTACAGAAAATTTGGCCAGAAAGAAGTGAATTTCAACCGGGTTCCCAAAATGTCAAGTATATCCCTCTTGTAGACCCCAAAGACGTCCTCCTGCCTCCTCTTCATATCAAACTTGGCCTCATGAAAAACTTCGTGAAAGCTATGAATAAAGAAGGTGATGGATTTAAATACCTAAGGCAAGTCTTTCCCCAGTTGAGTGATGCCAAATTGAAAGAGGGTATTTTTATTGGACCACAAATCAGGAAATTGTTGGACGACACAAATTTCACAGACACGCTTACCAGGCAGGAACTCAGAGCATGGACCTCATTTGTTAGTGTAGTGAGGGGATTTTTGGGAAACAATAAGGATGCGAACTACGAACAATTGGTTAATGAGCTTTTAGATGCTTATAAATCGCTTGGTGCCCGAATGTCTTTAAAAATTCACTTTCTCCATTCTCATTTGTCATTTTTCCCTGAAAATATGGGTGCTGTCAGTGATGAGCAAGGTGAGAGATTCCATCAAGACATAAGGACAATGGAAATTCGTTATCAAGGACGATGGGATCCAGCCATGATGGGTGATTACTGTTGGTTTTTGAAGAGAGAAGACGCGGTCCCTCATAAAAGGAAAAAGTAAAAGTTTTTGTTTATGTTTTGATCTCGTTTCGATTGTTTTTGTACTTTTTAGGTATAAGTAATGTTTGAGGAGTGTAAACTATAAAATATAATCGGTATATAGGCTTAAGAAGTTCTTAAATCATGTTTTGAATAGCTATCTTAATATATTGAATATTGTAATATTGAATGATGTTTTATTAATGTAACAAAAAAACCTTACGTGTTACGACTTTTTTTTTGCCACTTTCGTGATTAGATAGGTTCATTCTACCACAATATCCTATTGAGCTTTGTGTTACATCGAAAAAATTTTTTTTTGTCGGCCTGTGTTATGGGATACCCTGTACATTTTTAATTCATTGAAAATAATTTAAAATCACCTTTCCCAAAATATAGCCTACATTATATTTTGCTCGATTCCTCTTCAAGATGTAGAGTTTTTAAAAATTTGCCCACTTTGAATAAGTAGGTTTTAAACGGCGCCGGCTGTAATGCAAAAAAATTCCAGCTGTGAGCAGCAATTAAAACGAAAATAATAGCAATGGGAGATGCAGAATTTTATAACAATTTAAACTATATTTAACAACATCAACACATTAACTTTTTTAGCATTAGCAACATTAGCTTTCTAATTTGAAGTTCAATAAAACACAAGTTTACTTAATCGGTAATGAGTTGCATAGAGGTCACTAGCTTTTTAATTTTAACAGCCGGGTGGTCGGGGTTCAAAGATGTTAATAAAATGGCGCCACGAGATTATACTCTATGAACTCGGCATAAAAGATGTTACTATTAAGTAGACTTCAACACTAACCTCGAACTGTTGAGTGCAACTACCATGAACTTCAAATATTACTGTAATTCGTTAAACTTAAGTGACTCTAACTTAACTATGAGACTAGACTGCAAATAATACTACTAAAAATGTTTAAGTAATTTATTAAAATACTAAAAGTTAATATTTATATAAAAAAAATGAATGAAAGGTAGATTGAAATATGTTAAGAAATTTAAATCGTTAAGAATTACTAATTACGAATGCAAAATGAAAAATGTTTTAAGCTATACTAAAACTAAGACGTCATCTCCCTTAACTAAAACTAAGTATGCTCTAAGGGCGGAATACAAATATCAAATCTAAACCTAACTAAAATCTAAACAGTCTTACTCTACTCGATGTGATATACTTGAAAACTTCCTCCGGCTGAGCTACGGCGTATAGCTACAGGGTTGCTAAGGCGGTGTACAGCAGCTCGGTGTACTGTCACTGGAGCCCACGGATGTCAGCAGAGGTACAGGTGAAAGGTAGGTGTTGAGATTTCAAATGTTGAACATAAAAAACCCTAAATAATATTGGTTGTCTTAGAAAAGAGCCTCAATTATAGAACAAGGACTAGCACAACGTGTAGGAGTTAATGAAGGTAATAAAGAAGGACTAATTAAATCTGAACTTTACCTCAACCAGGGTTTATGATGTCCAACGGGTAACTCTACACACGGGCAACAGAAACGGATGGAATTCTGGACTGTTCTGTGCTACGGTCTGGATCGGTCTTCTTGCTCTACAATTACGAACAACCAAATAAGATTTAAGAAAGATAACACTCAACTAATCTTTCTACACCACGTGGGCGTGGAAAAGTCGAAAACCAGTCAACAATACGAATAAAAATCAGTTGAGCATTGACTTAGACTAGGCAGAAGAATTATAGCATACCTTGGAACTGTTCGGGGACTTTTTGGGCACGTGGAATCGGAATATCGGTCGGAAAAATTTAGCTATTTAATCCCTTACGGAAATTGGTCGGTGGTCCATGTAAACTCAACAAAATCCAACCACATCTCTGACCAAATGTGTTCCGGAAGACTTAATCCTTCACTAGGAAGACCTGCTAATCACCAACAGGGAATGCTTCACGGAACGGCAGCCAGTTCTTCACGACGATATTCTGACGGTGGATACACAAGAAGTGATGCAAGGATTCGATTTCCTTCACAAAATCAGATTTCTACCGGAAATCTCCCTCCAGGATATAGATAGAGAACTATATATCTTGACTAGTCCAACTCACAAAAAGGCATAAATAAAAAACGATGTTCTAGATTATTTTCACAGCCATCTTCGATATCCGGTCAATGAACGAACTAAACTCGCAAATTCCCACAATTAAATGAACGAATTGCACACTGCGATCCACATCAAAAATAACCACTTTAACTACGAAATTTTATCTGATAATTATAAAATTTCAATAACCAAAACAAAGGATAAATAAATCCAAAAACATCTGATTTCATCTGACAGTGACAAGTGACGGAGGTGATGATCAAAGGTATAGAGAGATCGACAAAAATTCTAATGCTGGGCGGCCGTTTCCAGTGACAATATTGTTGAGCTTATGGAGTGTAGAGGTAGTTGAGCTGTAGCTTGTATAATATCGCGGTGTATATTCGGTTGCATAATGGTAAAATACTAAATAAAATAATATTTAACAATAAAATTATAGTAAACATGATGCAAAAATAATAGTTATTTGCGATAATTTATGAGCTAGCTCACAGAGGTCGTTGCGAGGAAATTTGACTGTTACAATATCAAAGAACAATAAATAATAATAGCAAACCAAGACATGAGATTTTGCTACAAGTGTTCGACATGTGTCGACTATTTTCTGTTATGGACAGACGGGACCATTTTTGAACATTTCTCGCGGTATTTATTCAGTGGGGGTTAGGTGAGGTTGCCCCTAACATAGCCGCATTCTAATTCTTGTCTAGATTATACGGGTAATTTAAAATTAAGAATCTTTATTCTTTCGCAAAGATAAAAATCCATATGGACTAAGTCCGGCGGTCTCGACGGCTAACGGCTGGGGTGTTGGTTAGCTATTCAGTTATTAACTTCAGCGTTCTGTGCCGGTGCCTCGTCTTGCTGAAAAAAAATATGTTTTCGAGTTCCATTAGGGGCAGATCATAAATAAGGGGCCCAAAGCCTACCAGTTAAATGTGACGAACTTTCTGTACGAATTCTGTATTTCGAAGAGGACTATAACAAAATATCAAGTGTGCTATATTTTTGGAAAGGTAATTTTAAGTTCTTTTCCGTTAATTAAAAATATACAAGGTGTCCCAAATAAAAAATCAAATTTTCGTTGATACTCTTAAATTATTAATCTTAAAAAAATTATACTTAAACCACTAAATTCTACGTAAAAAGGTGCTCTGGAAATATTTTCATAAAAATACAGAACTTTCCGTAGCAAAAAAGTTACAGTGATTTGTTAAAAATGCAAATTTTTGTAACTCCGAAACGGACACAGATATTTTGTGCGGTTTTCACCATTATGTTTTTGATAAAAATTGAGCTACAAACACCAATATTAGTTTTCGTCTATCTCTTATAGAAAAGGGTGTTTCCCTTTAAAAGCGTCCAATTTGACCTAGCCTGTACATGACTCAATGCCATTGCAGTACTCATACTCATTTACAGTATGGTAACGGAATCCTACAGATATAGATAACGTCAAGTCCAAAATTAGCTTGATTTAGATTTTCAAGCAATACCTACATTCTACAAGAAAAAATAGTTTTCTCGACAATGCAGCTGTCAATTTTTTCATAGTACATATTTGAATGTTTTAGTAGGTACAATGTCTGTAGCTGTAATCATTTAGTTATGTTTATGTAAATATTTAATATCCTTTTCTATGTTGTTTCAGTTAAGCGCAAACGTGGTGGTATTCTTATGCGTCAACGTCGTGGGCATATTTATGCACAATCTCATGGAACATGCGCAAAGGAAGGCTTTTTTAGACACTAGGAACTGTATCGCTGCTCGACTGGAAATGGAAGACGAAAATGAAAAACTGGTAAGTGCGTAATTATAAGACGATATGCTAAATATAGGTTTCAGTTAGAAAAAAATTCTGAATTTATTATTGCGATACATTCCTTTCATTTTTTGCATTCAAATGATTTTTATTCTGTGATGTGTTTGAATATTTCAATAAATAGATACGGCTTACTATATTTTTTAATTTGTGAAAAACAAAAAATGAAAATTAAAAAAATATTGTTTTAATACAAACTCTCACAACACGACCAGTTTCTGAACCTAACATCAGGGTAAATTTGTTGATTAGATGAAGGCTTATTCTTCATCAATTGTCTTGAGTTGATTCTTCCAAAAGCGACAAACATACCGTGTAGGGCATTCAATCCCGAAAGAAATTTTCAATCCCGGGATTTCGGGATTATAATTTTTCGATCCCGGGATCCCGGGATTCACGAAAAGATTAATTACGTTGGAATTATATTATATTTTCTTTCTTTACAAAATTTTATTGAACAAAAAAAACATTAACATAAATTAAACGTCATCCTCATTACAAAACAACATAACATATAAGTTTATTCAACAAAAAAAAACATAAAAGGAACTAAAATATACATTTTTTATTTAATTTACATAACCAATCGAATACAGCATAACACAGGATTACTAAGAGATACTAAAATAACAACTTATGCAGTAACAAAGATGAGGATCTAAACTTGGTTTTTTTGGTTTTTGAAAAAAATTCTTAAAAAAAACAAGCCGATCAAGAGTATTATCACTCAAACTAGATCTTCATCATCTTCAAACTTGATCAAACATTCAGGGTTGTTTATAAGCGCATATTGTACTATCATGAAAGACTTGTGTACGATTTAAATTAAGGAAAAAATGTAATGATGAATCCCGAAAATCCCGGGATTAAAGAAAAGACAATCCCGGGATTTCGGGATTGAAAAAATGGCCGGGATCCCGGGAAACGGGATCCCGTGATTGAATGCCCTAATACCGTGGACAATTTGACTAGAATAAAACCAAATCTCGCACCAAAAGAGCAGACATTAAAAAAAGGCTGCTAAGGTAATTTAATCAAATATTTCACCTAAAATAGTCTCATAACGAATATTTAACACAATCCGGAGTTTAACCGTAGTTTTTTTATTGCAAATAATTAATCTTCATACAATTTTATGGCACCTATATTTTTTATTTAATTCAATTTCATTCCATTTTTTTTAAATTAATCTATATTAAGAATTTCAAATTTACACTTTTGCAATCTCTGGCCTCACCTATCAAAAGTGTCACGGTTTGCCACCAGGTACAAAGGTAAATAAAAACCATTTTTCATGTATTTTAAAGTAGATATAAAATTAATTGTAAAATGAAACTCAAGGAACTTACGTTAAAATGATCTTCACAGCAAAATCTCGTACTTTTGCTGACATATTGTTGTATTGCCGCTTCAAACCAGGCTCTTCGACGGCTTCATCCAAAGGAACAACAGTTATAAATAAAACAAAATTGAAAACTCAAAGTATTTAACGCCAAACGCAAAATCCACAAAATACAAATCTAACAACAAACCCTCGAACGCCTCGAACCATCCTCGAAAATTCGAACAACTTCGGTAGTGTTTAGTGCTTCAATAAAAATGGCAGTAACCTGTTATTAATTAAAATTTAAGTTTTAATTTCTAGTAGTAAAAAATATAAAAGTAAATTTAATATTGGAAATAGAAAACAAATTTCTTGCAGTAGAGGTATATAATAAAATTATATAAGGGTTCTTGCCACTTAACTGCTAATATAGAAATTTAATTCTACGCTGTGTTTGTCATAATGCGGATCAACCTGCTCTCACTACCGGTTTCGGAACACTACTCCATCATCAGGTGAGCTTGGGAGATCCACAAAATGACAACCACAGCACAGAGATAGTTAATTCCGACTTGTCGGAAAGTATCGGTTAGATATTAAGTCCCGAACAGGAGATAGCGGCTTGCGTGCAATGGTAGTACTTTCGTACCACCAAGGCGCAACTATCGATAGTAAAAGGATGGTAAAAGGCTTTTTTTTCAGGCAAGCCAAATTATAAAATAGAAATAGAAAACAAATTTCTTGCAGTAGAGGTATATAATAAAATTATATAAGGGTTCTTGCCACTTAACTGCTAATATAGAAATTTAATTCTACGCTGTGTTCATGGTACAAAGAATACAAGGTATGATATTGAGCAGGTTGGTCGCTACGTCATAGGTGATAACAGGCGCTATTGGTCAGCACGCTCCGCGCGCCAGTTCAAATCGTCAAGATGTTGTTATAAACCTGTTTTTTTGTTTATATACCGTCATTGAATTATCGCTAAGCAAGTTACTGTGGAGCAGTGCGTAAGGAGTCGGGCTCGAGGAAGCGAGAGACCGGAGTTCGAATCTCGGCCGGGACATAACTTTTTATTTATTTTTTTAAATACTGTTGTATTCTATAGTTTATTTTTGTAGTATAAAAAAAAAACTATTTATTCTGTTATTTTTTAATCTCCGTTATTAATATAAATTGATTGTTAGTACAATACCTCATTTAATATAAAATAATATTCTACTTTTTGAAATGTATCGGGCCCTAATTGTACCTAAAAGTAATATATTTTTAGTGATATACCATATTGTAAACTATTTAATATTTTAGTCACTTAAAAAGTTAATTTGCATTGAATAATTGCCTACCATTAAAGGAAATTTGAGCTATATAATCCTTGATGGGCATATTCTGGGTATGCAAATACTTCCTTTAAATTTTGGGTGTCGTTCAACCGATTTATTCTCAAAACCAGAAACTTCTACATATAAAAAGAAGCAGAGGTCACTAATTATAATAAACTTCACCCTTGGTATTACTTCCACTAATTATAATAAACTTCACCCTTAGAATTACTTCTATCACAATTACAATACGTTCATCTGCATTGGCATTTTCTACTTTTCGATGGGAAACAATAAACTTCCCAATATTTTTTAAATGATGTAACAATTCCTCTTGTGGTTACTTTTCCATAGATATCCTCAACTCTGTCCTCATGTGAATTCAGAGGCAATGAAAATGAAAATTATTTACCATAAACATCGCAAACTAAAAACCTAATAAACAATTTTATACCGAATATAGAAATAAATTCAGTATTCTTACCTATCGTCCAAATCCATGTTAATAGATAATTATTATTTTTAAATATATTTTTGGAACTGCTGGTTTTAGTAATTATTAAATTAAACGAACTAAAAAGTCTTAAAATAAACAATTCTTAACCATAACCCCAAAAATTGCAGATCTCCTGTCAACTTTCTTTATTTTTTATTTATTCATTATTTTCCTAGTGACGTCACAGGTGGTATGCGCGAACTGAACGAAATTGGAGCCGCTATCGATCATACCTTTATTCTTTGTACCATGCGCTGTGTTTGTCATAATGCGGATCAACCTGCTCTCACTACCGGTTTCGAGCCCTACTCCATCATCCGGTGAGCTTGGGAGATCCACAAAATGACAACCACAGCTCAGAGATAGTTAATTCCGACTTGTCGGAAAGTATCGGTTAGATATTAAGTCCCGAACGGGAGATAGCGGCCTGCGTGCAATGGTAGTACTTTCGTACCACCGAGGCGCAACTATCGATAGTAAAAGGATGGTAAAAGGCTTTTTTTTCAGGCAAGCCAAATTATAAAATATCAACCTGCTCTCATTACCGGTTTCGGAGCCCTACGGTTGATCCGCATTATGACAAACACAGCGTAGAATTAAATTTCTATATTAGCAGTTAAGTGGCAAGAACCCTTATATAATTTTATTTAATATTGGAGTAATAAAGAATAATCCCACATAAAAACTTTTTTTTTAACGATCTTAATAAAAATAGAAAAATCTAACGTGATTTTAAGATATATGGTGTAAATACGGTAGCAGAGAACTTAGACATGCCATAATATTATTCTTCAGAGGCTCGCGCCCTCTGTCAACTATTCACTCAAATGCTGATAGGAGATGACGTCACAATTTTCTACGCGTCATTTCGAACCAGTGAAATTTGTATTGAATTTGATTTATTATTTATTCCTTAATTGTAACTTCGTTGCATTTCTTTTTAAATTGAGGGAGTACTTTTTAATCACTTCAATTGAATTTTATATTAAAAATAACAAAAATTTACTATGGTTAAACACCGGATTTTCTGGACAAAAATAGATGATATATGCAAATTTATGTACGTTTATACAATTTTATTTATGTTTTTGAAACGTAAAAGAAGAAATGCTTTTTCCAAATCAAACATTATAAAGAACAAATAAGACGGATTTATGTTAAGTAAACAAAAATACTATACTGTGTAAATTAAATAACGCATGCATCACATTAATAATAAGTTGACGTTGACGTGTGTACATGAATTACCGATGTTGATGTTTATCTAGATTAAAGTATCACACATTTGCGTCTGAGAGAACGTCATATTTGTGTCATTCACTGAATTTTTAGTTTTGAAAGCAATAATATGTAATTGTTAAATAGAGAATTTATAACAAGTAAGGTATCAGTCACTTTAATTGTTATCTAATCAATTTAACTGGTATATACGTTTGAAGAATTGCCTGATTTCATTCCTCAAATTGTAGATAAATCTACGGCATGAGGTTTGAACACTTTATAATCTTTATAATTTTAATTACGACATTATTGCCGTCCATCTCGTCTATTTTTGGTGCTCCAATATTCTTTGTCCTTATGTGATAAAAATATTGAATTGAGTTAATTTTTGTTGAAGTGTTTGAACATTTCAAAAAGTAGATGCTGTTTGATATATTTTTAATGAGCTAAAATGAAACATTGTTATGTTGTCGTTTTGGTTTGGTTTGGTTTGGAGCTTACTCGGAGCTTACACTTACTTGGAGCCTAACATTAGACTAAATTTTATGATGAAGGCCACTTTCATCATGTAGAGTGTCATGAATTGATTATTTCAAAAGCAATAAACATACCATGAACAATTTTAGTTAGCGGAATTCAGTTAGTTTTCTGCGATCTAGTCGATAAAGATTTTACGTCAAAATATGGTCAAAAAGCAGAAGTTAAATATTTAGCACAGAGTCTATTTTAGATGAAATACTATTTCTTATTTAATTAAAAAACTTTTTATTAGTTTCTGCTTATTTTATCTGCTAATATATTTTAATATTATTAATTATAATAAATGATTAAATAGTTAATATAATATAGAATCTATTTTAGATGAAAATTTTTACTTTAGGCCCGTATTTATAGTTGCGTCTCGAGACGCCAAGACGGTCTTGGGCTCTTGAGAGCGGAATCCACAGAATACACGAGCAAACGTCATTTTGGAGATTGTCATTTTGGATAGTTTATGTGATCTGTGGATAGTTTCTTAACCTAACTTTTTTAGTAAACAAAATAAATCCCTTGTAAATCCGTTTTGTCTGATTAAACAGTTTTGAATATGTTAGATGAGTTTGAGGATATTTTGGACCATGTGGAAGAAGAAAATCGTCTTCGAGTTCCAAAACGATATATAAGGGATGCAGGAAATCCAAGAGAAACGTTTAGCGAGGGGAATTTAAATATCGATATAGGTTTAGCAAGGCTACAATTACAGAAACTATTTTACCTCTTGTAATTGAAGACTTGCAAAACCTACCAATCGTGGTTTACCTATTCCCCCCGTTATTCAATTATTAATTTGTTTACGGTTTTATGCGACTTCTAATTTTCAAATAGTAAGTGGAGACTTGCATGTTGTTAGCCAACCTACAATAAGCCAGATTATCAAGAGGGTGTTCATTTTAATAGCAGAACATTTGAGTGAATTTGTGTGATACAACCATAAATGGTTGAACAGCATTATTATTCTAATGATACTAGCTTCGGCTTGTGCAAATGATGACAACAAATGGGATACATATATTAAGAATCTAGAAAGAGCTATAAATACATCTGTGAATAAATTCACTGACGAAAAACACCTGAAATATTATATGGATATATTCCGAGGATTGAAGATTTATTTGAAGATGGACAAGTGAGTTTATTGACAGTAGAGAATGAAAAGTACTCGATTACCTGAAAAATTGAGAGAAGAGGTCAAAGAACATATAGAAATGGAACAAAGGAAGTATACAAAATTTATAGGCTAGCAGACTAGCAAAAAAAGAAGAGAGAAGAATGTCATCTAGACTAATGAATCATAGAATGTGTATTGTGAAATATTATTTAAAAATAAAACTATGAAACATTGAGTATCGACTTTATATAGAAATCTTGAAAATTATAGGTATATGGTGTATACATCCAATATTGTATATTATGTGATATGATATTTATGTAAATATTCATGATGAAAATAAAAAAGACAATTTTTTTAGTTTTAATGTATTAGTGGGAAAATTCTGTATGACCAGTTAAAACAAGCACTTAGCTGTCTGGTCATAGTGAGCATAAAACTACTAAGAAATCATCATCATATTATTTAAGTATAGAAAAACAGTATTTTTAAGATAACTAATAAAAGACTATAAGAAATTACTTAAATTATTAACACTAATTTAACACTAATAGAAAAGTAAATAAAATTATTATATAGGTACTAGTTACCTGGGAACATCGCTTAACATATTACATAATTACTAGATATACATATGTTAATACAATAAATATATACATTAATTTACAAAATGTTGAATAAGATTTCTTCAAAAATCTAACCCTCTTCCTTTTTATTTATAATTGGAATGTGTAAATTAGCATCTTCAAAATTATCTAAATTTTCCCTTAAACCAATATGAAGAACAGCTGTTGCACAAATAATAGCACCAGTTGTTTTGTAAACCTCGGAGACATGGAAGATGTTTTTTACAAGTCCCAAATAGCCTTTCACATTTCGCATTCTTCTATGGGCAAAGTTATACCTAGTTTCTTGTTGATTACCTAGCTGTAGAACAGGAGTCGATAGAAATGGCCTACATCTATATGCATTGTCTCCAAGAAGTAAATCAGGAATATCACGCCTTTCCATTAGCATTCTTAATTACTTCGATCGAATATAACACCTTGACCCTGGATATCCAACTATAATATCCATAATTTCCCTTTGGTGACCTGAACATTTAGACTAAAAAAACGTTTGCGATTTTGAAATACTTCCACATTATTGCATTATTCTTGATTATCTGGCTTATTGTAGGTTGGCTAACACCACACAAATCTTCATTTACCATCTGAAAATTACAATTCGCATAGTATTCATCAGTCATCATAGTAATTGAATAACGGGGAAAATGGGTAAACCACGGTTGGCAGGTTTTTGCAAGTCTTCAATTTATAAGAGGTAAAATAGTTTCTGTAATTGTAGCCTTGTAAAACCTATATCGGCATAAATCCCCCCTCGCTAAACATTTCTATTGGATTTCCTGCATCCCGTATATATCTTTTTGGAACTCGAAGACGATTTTCTTCTTCCACATGGTCCAAAATATCCTCAAACTCTTCTAACATATTCAAAACTGTTTAATCAGACGAAACGGATTTACTTTGTTTACTAAAAAAATTAGGCTAAGAAACTATCCACAGATCACATAAACTATCCAAAAAGACAATCTCCAAAATGAAAATCGCAATCTCCAAAATGACGTTTGCTCATGTATTCTGTGGCTTCCGCTCTCAAGAGCCCAAGACCGTCTTGGCGTCTCGAGACGCAACTATAAATACGGGCCTTAGAATCTTTTTAACGTCATTTTCTACCCACAAATAGTTGAAATATACAAGTTTATGCTGATTTTTAATAATTTAATTTTTGTTTTTGAACCCTATGAGAAACTTTTAGCCCACACACAAAACTGCAAAAATATTAAAAAAATAACGAATACATTACGTTAACAAAGTTGCGTATGCAGATGAATTACGTATATTGATATTTATCTAGATTAAAATATCTCATCTTTGCTATGAAGCGAACGTCATATTTCTATGACTCACTGAATTTTTATTAAAAAAAATAATTTTATGCCCCATACTCACTATGCGCTGATGCGATATCTCGATGCGGTTCACCAATGCGTCGATTTGATACACAAATGCGTCGATACGATGGGTTGTGGGGCTATTCTTGGGCGAACCATCAAAAAAATTATCTTTTAATATAACGAAATATCGAATCGCACCGATGACACTCCTTATGGACGCATGAACGCATCGAATCGACTCATCAGCGTATAGTTTGAGGCTTAAGTTAAAATAAATAAAGATAATGGAAGTTCGAAATTCTTTTAGTTTTATTTTTAATACTGAATCATTGTCTATCGCACAAGTAAAGTATCATGTAATATATTTAAATGGCATTATAATGATTGAATAATGGTCTGATTTTCTGAAGTTATACAATATGTCCCTGGATTGTCTTTACAAGAGGAAAAAAATTGTATTATTGACATTTTGAGGAAAATGCATTCTTCATAAAAATGTTTGCTTGTTCTAAAACGGATAATCACGTTTATACTTTTCCAAATTTTCATACCGTTTTAAAGGAAATAAAAAAACCATGAAAATATGGTTGATTTTTTTGCTCTAGGCCCTAGAAATCCAATGGCGTTTCTATAGTAATATAATTGCGATTTCATTCTTTGATAGATGGTTATTATGAATTTTTATTAACATGATATTTTTCGCTGTTGAATTATCACATTTTGCAATATTTATTATCACTCTTTCCGTAACATTGAACTATATAAATTTTGTGCTTCTTTAACATTTTGAAACAGCAAAAAATATGACGTATGATATTTCTATCAATAATAATTTATTAGAGAAAGAAAAGGAAATTATATTACCATAGAAACCGTTTTGATTTTTAGGACTCTACCAGAAAAAAATAAACTATATTTTCAGTTTTTATTTTAATTTTCTCTAAATTTGGAAAAGTTTAAACAGAATAACTATTTTAGAACAAGCAAATTGTTTTATGAAGAATGTGTTGCAAATGTCAATAATAAAAAAAGTTTTTCCTTTTGTAAAGATAATCGGGGGACATGCTGAAGATAAATCTACGATTGTGGACTAGACAGATAGTAGGTGAAAAACAAATAATAATATACTCAGTACTTTATAGAGCCCTCAAACAGTTCTTTTCCATAAAAATTGACGTATTTTTCAATAACCTATTCTAATATTTTGATTTCTTTCTACCACACAATACGCCACAAATCATGCCCTCGCCCATTCAAACATACTTTAATCTGTCGTCGCACAATATTACGACGTATTTTCATCCGATTGCCAGAGAGACCGTCTCTATCGTATACAACGTATTTTCGATCTTTTCCAGGAACGTCTGCTATTGTCGGTGCTTCCCCAACACGTCGCCATGGAAATGAAAAACGACATAATATCGCCGGTCGAGGGCCAGTTCCACAAAATCTATATACAGAAACACGAGAACGTCAGGTGAGTTACCCAAAATTTACTCGGTTTTGTATTTCAGCTACGTGTATATCCATTACTTTGGTTTTATTACTTGTTGCTATTAAAATTTTAATTAACAAAATATGTATTTTTTGATCTCCGTATTAAAATAATATTTGTTTGAAAACAATATGATTTATGATATTATTTTATGAAATTGCGACCATACTGCGATTACAAACAAAAGCGAAATATATAGGGTGTCCCAGAAATGAGTGCAGATATTTTAAGGTTGGTAGATCTGGTCAAAATAAACATATTTTCTCTTTACCATTTTTAAAATAAATTGAAAATAACGGAGTTATTTAACTTTGAAAATTTAAAAAAATAATCGCAACATTTTGAGAACCGCCGGCAGATATTGCCAACTACATCCAATTACCCGGATCAAGCCCGGATTTCAGCTAATTCGACGCACTGTGTTGCCATATGGACAAGAAAGTATATGTTTAAAAGTAAGTCATAAAATCACAACACCTGAGGAGTTTGCAGAGATGCATTACATTTTTAAGATTGTGATATTATTACATAAAATGAATTAAAAGTTAAATGTTTAAAAGTTAAAAAAGTTAAATTTAAAAACTTACCCAACATTAAAAAAGATACTTATGACAGATCGATGTAACTGCGACAGTTCTCTTTTTCGATACACACTTAACTAAAATACATTTCATTGTGCTGCTTTACTTGTACATGCTATTATAAAAACTGCTAAAATAACAGTCCCCATTTTTAACTTAACACATTATTTTCATATAGTCTTCATCACAATTTGAACCACTGATTTATAAAACACCTTGAAAAGCACCCATTACACATTACTTTGAATACTACCTTTCTGAATGAATAAATGTTGAGAATTATTGTCTCTTACCGCCACTTTACGAACTACTTTCAATCTAAGAAAATACATGTTTCACTCAACTTTTAAATACGTATTTTGTTTTTTCGCTATTTTTTCGATGTATTTCGACAATTCCGTCGACAGCCCAACCGTCGGCCAAGACAGTCGCGCATCACTGGTGGGTAACTGCTCACTGCTCCTTTGTCGCGCCGGCGTGTCGAGCTTGCGTCATGCGAGGTTGCCCTAGTTTCAACGATTTCAAATTCAAGACACTCGAAGCAATCAAATTCTTATTAAATTTTAAAAATAAAACAGAGAAACAGGAAAGGAAACAAACAAAACACAAATGAATTGATTATTGATAAGGTCACAAAAAAGAAATTTCTAAAATGTTTATCGTAATTCAGAATTCAATATATCGAAAACAGCCCGACCAATAATCAATTCATTTTTGTTTTGTTTGTTTCCTTTCCTGTTTCTCTGTTTTATTTTTAAAATTTAATACGAATTTGATTGCTTCGAATGTCTTGAATTTGAAATTGTTGTAACTACGGCAACGTTGCTTAACATCATCGTCTGACGCAAGCCCGCCACGACGGCGCGGCTCAAAAGACCAGTTCACACGTGGCACTCTTGGCCGACGCGCGACGGTTGGTCTGTCGAAATACATCGAAAAAATAGCGAAAAAACAAATACGTATTTAAAATTGTTGAGTGAAACATGTATTTTCTTAGATTGAAAGTAGTTCGTAAAGTGGCGATAAGAGACGGTATTCAAAGTAATGTGCGCTTTTCAAGGTGTTTTGGTTTGAAAGAAAACAAACAAAACAGAAATGAATCGATTATTCGTTGGGCTGTTTTCGATATATTGAATTCTAAATTACGATAAAGATTTTAGGAATTTCTTTTTTGTGACCTGGTTGTGAATAATATGATGAATCATTTTCGTAAACGTCATAAACGTAATGTTTCAGCCTTTTAGTTAATTTTCGGTGGTTTTTGTTATGTTTTCGTTGAAAGGGTAAGTACTAAAAATAATTAATGTTCTTTTTTCTATAGTAATTATTAATAATGAGCACTGATAAAAGATTAAATTTAACATTCCTAATTTTTGAGTAGAAATTCGTCTATGAATTTATAAATGTAGAACTATGTAGAATGTGGATAACATAGGAGGTTGCAACACTGCAAGGTTTAGATACACCGTAGAGAAATCTCAGGTGAATAAACAAGTGGCACTAAAAAGTTTTTTCAAATTTCCCGGAAAATGTCTTTTAGAGACAGTGTGGTCTCTTTATAGATATACATTATTAATAAACTAATTTATCAATAAAATAGAGATCCGTTATCAAGCAGGGCGCGCGATGATGTGAAGTCTTGACATCTCAAGACAGCATTCATCCTTGGACCTGCGCAGATCTTGACTACTGTTGGCGCGTTAAGCGAATTTTATGAATTATATAGGGTAGGTGCTAACACGGCCATTCTGCATTTGAGACGTGCTCGGCTCAACACAAATTCAAATGATTGATTGTTCAGGTAATTGATAAGTCAATACACTTATACAACAATAATATTTAATATATACCTATTAACATTATAAGCATACAAACAGTGGTTAATGCGAAGGTTATATGATCCAAATATAAAATCCACATATGCGATGCCACATCTCGAAGCTTTTCATTGATAGCTTCATACTCCATACTCTATGGAAGATTCTGTAAAATAAAATAACAAACAATGGACAATGTCCGGCCGCTGCCCGTCAACATTTCCAAATAAAACAACAAAAACAATGGACAATGTCCGGCCACTGCCTGCGACATTTCCAAATAAAACAACACAAACAATGGACAATGTCCGGCCGCTGCCTGCGACATTTCCAAACAAAACAAAACAATCAATGGACAATGTCCGGCCGCTGCCTGCGACATTTCCAACAAAACAAAACAAACAATGGATAATGTCCGGTCGCTGCCTGCGACATTTCCAAACAAAACAAAACAAACAATGGACAATGTCCGGCCGCTGCCTGCGACATTTCCAAACAAAACAAAACAATCAATGGACAGTGTCCGGCCGCTGCCTGCGACATTTCCAAACAAAACAAAACAAACAATGGACAATGTCCGGCCGCTGCCTGCGACATTTCCAAACAAAACAAAACAATCAATGGACAATGTCCGGCCGCTGCCTGCGACATTTCCAAACAAAACAAAACAATCAATGGACAATGTCCGGCCGCTGCCTGCGACATTTCCAAACAAAACAAAACAAACAATGGACAATGTCCGGCCGCTGCCTGCGACATTTCCAAACAAAACAAAACAATCAATGGACAATGTCCGGCCGCTGCCTGCGACATTTCCAACAAAACAAAACAAACAATGGACAATGTCCGGCCGCTGCCTGCGACATTTCCAAACAAAACAAAATAAACAATGGACAATGTCCGGCCGCTGCCTGCGACATTTCCAAACAAAACAAAACAATCAATGGACAATGTCCGGCCGCTGCCTGCGACATTTCCAAATAAAACAAAATAAAAAAAAACAAATGTTAGCAAAACTTTATTAAAAGGCTCACCCATTAAATAAGAGCTGCAGGCAGGTGATAAAATGGACGCTAACACGCCATCTCATCCTCGCAGTCGCTCTCTATGTCAAGCAAATCGGATCAGTCTTCCGGACACCATACCTTCGAACAACAATTGCATGGGTGATCTTTGGGTAGTTGTGTCAACATTGGAGTTTATGACAAGTTGTATTTTATCCAACTCGCTCGCCCATTCTGACAAATGTACACTTGCGTCCTGATCTATGTAAGTATACAAATCTATATAACTCTACAAAAGTAATTACAGGAAAAGAACTTAAAAAAAACACTTGTGCTGAAAAACACCTTCATTTTTATTTTAACGTTCGATTTGCCACACCAGTGTACACCATTTTAAATTAACCTTAGCTTGTAAATATTACAACAGGTTAACAACAATAACATACCTATTAATCAGGCTAAAAATGTTAAAGTAGACACCAAACTATGTCTTTTCACCCTACACGTTACTCACCACTCAACAAAACAGTAACTTCAATCTAATGCGTGGAGTCTGGCTAAATCTTGACAAAAGTTCAATTTTAAACCCAATTTTCGCCTCTTGCAGCAATCTGAATTTCATCTACAATGCCTTGATTATGATTATGTTGTGTTGTTTGGCAAGTATATTAAATCAAACATCTTTTACAACATATTTTTTAAAAAATATATTGTATAAGATGTTTATTTAACTTTACTTGAAACAAAATATCTGGTATAAAATCATCCTAGTTTAAATATTGTATGATCGAAGAATACGGCTTCAAGTTAACTTAGAAATGACTATTGATGACATTAACCATATAACTTTACAAAGAAAATGTTATCGATCGTCATTTTTAAGTTAACTTGGAATCGTTATTTTTCGAACATACGGTATATTAAATTAATTAGGTGTAATATAATACTATAGATGGCGCTGCCAAAATTGCTTTGAATGCAATGTAGATTTCTTTTTAAAATTTAATTGCAGATTTCTTTTTTTTTAATTTAATTTGTAGTTCTAAATCCGTGTCATAGATGGCGTACCAAAATGTTGTCCTAATTTTTTGTACGGAAGATTTCGTTCTGTTTTAATCTGTTCTGTGATGTGAAGTCTTGACATCTCAAGACAGCATTCATCCTTGGACCTGCGCAGATCTTGACTACTGTTGGCGCGTTAAGCGAATTTTATGAATTATATAGGGTAGGTGCTAACAATGTCAAGAAAAATTTTAAATTTTCAACTTTTTTTTTTCGCAAAAAAAACCTCATAGGCGTGTTTCTGGGGTTGAACTATACTACCATTTAAAATATTTGCACTTATTTCTGGGACACCCTCATGTAGTATAAACTTAATTTAATAAATTTAAAAGGAAATGTTTAAAACTAAAATTAAAACAAACTTAGGCGCTACTTACAATATAACTAATATTGTTCACGCATCTTATTAGCTTTTAAGTTTCCATTTAATTGGGCTTGGGATTTGTAAATATAAATGATGTGCAAAAATAAATAATTTATTTTTTGATTCTCTTTTCAATATTCCAATGTTTAATTGT